CTTGCCCCAAAGATGTTCTTCCCCCAACCCCATACCTGGATTCTCCACCCACATCTTACACCAAACAAAGCTGCTTCTTCCCTCCCCCATCTCCGGCTCCTCTCCTGACCCTGGAACACAAACCACTCCAGATGCAGAGCCACACGATTAATTAAAACCACCCCACGCTGATTAAAGTCTTAAGCTACAGTGCCAGGCATGCTAATTAACTGAGTGAGGGAATTCAGACCACAGGAAGAGGGGAAAAAAGAAAGTCATGGGAGAGATGGACTTCTGTTTAAAGAACAAATCAGATGACAATGTGGCCCAGGCTATCATAATGATAGATGGTTTCAGAGACCACAAAAGATTTAGGTATGTCCCCTGGCCACCAGTCTCCAGAAGCATTGATTGATGTGCCTGCAGTGTCACCTTTGCTGCTGCTAGAGACAAGAGCCCCACCTCTCGGACCTCCATGTGTGCCTAGTGGTTAAGGGAACTGGATCTCACATGACCAATTGCCTGGTTCAAATCCCAGCCCTGGCAGCTTGAGAAACATGCTTGGCAGGTATGCACACATGCCCAATAGGAAGAGAAATGGAGAAGGAATTACTGCATGACCATGCCCCCTTGGAAGAAGAGTTCTCCCTTTCTCTTACTCTGTCTTGCTCTCTGGCGAGTACATACACCCTCTGGCCAAAAAAAAAAAAAGAAAGCTGAGAGAAATTTGCCCAGGTTCACTAAGGAAGCTGGGGCAAAACTATGGCTTGAATCTCATAGCAAGTGCCTGAGACTTGTGTTCCTCTCCCACTTAGATCCACCAGGATGGAAAGTGAAGAAACGTGGCTTCAGGACCAGCAGTTAGTGTAATGGCTATGTTGCTGGACTCCCACATAGTCAACCACGGTTCACGTCCCGGACCTGGTGGCTTAAAATTCACGCCAGGGGCATGTGCGTGCGTGCCCAAGATCCCGAAAGGAGAATGGAGGAGAAGGGATTGCGTCGTGGCCATCCCCCCTGGGGGGTGATTTCTCGCTTTCTGTCTCTATGTCTCTCTCTGTCTGGCGAGCACACATGCCCTATAGCAAAAACCTCTCAAAAAAAAAAAAAGAAAAAAAGAAAGAAACATGGTTTCTACAGAAGTTAGTGAAGGTGCTGAGTGAGTCCAAGAAGCTGGGAAAACTCTGGGTTTCATCAGAAGGGGCAAGCAAGGAATGGTTTAGGGGCTGATGTGATGGTTCAAGGAAGAAATGACACGATTAAGGTACTAACAAGGAAAAATCCTTACAGATCTGTTAAACCCCCAGTCAAGTTCACGAGGCCTAGGAAGACTATCAGAGCACTTTTCTGTGATGTAGGGAAGAGAATTTGACAGTATCATGAGGATATTAATGGCAAAGATAGCAGGAGTAATACCTCTCACTTATAAAGGGCATGACCATTTACAGTTTCAAAGCTATTGAGTCATCTGTGTTTGGGAAAAAACCCATGAATAAGGGGGGAATTAAGGAAGAGAAAAAAATGAGACTCAGAGGCAGTAGGCTCTTACTGCTAATAAATAGCATAGCCAGGATTGGAACCTAGCTCTACAAGATCCTACACTCTGTCCAACCAACAAAAAATGGCACACATTTCAAATCAAGAAAGGAAGGACTTGGACCAGCCCCGTGGCCTAGTGATTGAAGGAATTGGACCTCATGTGGCTATCCACAGTTCAAATCCTAGCCCTAGAAGCTTGACAAACATATCAGACATGTGTGCATACATGCCCAAAATTCTTATAGGAAAGAGGAAGAGAGGAGAAGGCATTGTGATGTGACTATGCCCCATTGAAGGTGCTTTCTCCCTCTCTCTCTGTCTCTGTCTCTCTGGTAAGTACATGCACCCTCTGGCAACTGAAAAAGAGAACAAGAGGAAGAACCTTACAATTCCAAGGTACTGGCATTAAACACCAGTCACAAGATATTTTTAGGAATCTAAATGCAATTGTTTTGCGAATATCAGATTCACCAGGCAGCCGGCCCTTTACTGTAAGTGGCATACCCCAGAAACCCAGGCACATTCCATCCAAGGCAGATTATGAAACATGTGAATGGGAGCAACTGGGGCATCTGTGTTTGGGAAAAAACCCATGAATAAGGGGGGAATTAAGGAAGAGAAAAAAATGAGACTCAGAGGCAGTAGGCTCTTACTGCTAATAAATAGCATAGCCAGGATTGGAACCTAGCTCTACAAGATCCTACACTCTGTCCAACCAACAAAAAATGGCACACATTTCAAATCAAGAAAGGAAGGACTTGGACCAGCCCCGTGGCCTAGTGATTGAAGGAATTGGACCTCATGTGGCTATCCACAGTTCAAATCCTAGCCCTAGAAGCTTGACAAACATATCAGACATGTGTGCATACATGCCCAAAATTCTTATAGGAAAGAGGAAGAGAGGAGAAGGCATTGTGATGTGACTATGCCCCATTGAAGGTGCTTTCTCCCTCTCTCTCTGTCTCTGTCTCTCTGGTAAGTACATGCACCCTCTGGCAACTGAAAAAGAGAACAAGAGGAAGAACCTTACAATTCCAAGGTACTGGCATTAAACACCAGTCACAAGATATTTTTAGGAATCTAAATGCAATTGTTTTGCGAATATCAGATTCACCAGGCAGCCGGCCCTTTACTGTAAGTGGCATACCCCAGAAACCCAGGCACATTCCATCCAAGGCAGATTATGAAACATGTGAATGGGAGCAACTGGGGAGGGTCGTAATTATGCTTTTGAATGAACAAGCCATGTTTTTTTCTTTAAGCCCATGCAAAATATGGAGTGCTAGACAAGCAGCTGGAACACATGAAAACATTCAACTGTAGTTGCGCTTCCCTGCTTTCACCATCTATGGCCTCTTTTTATTATTTTTTCCCCTTGGGGCATCATAGTTTGAAAGATCTGTCTAAAAAACAAACTGCATTTATTAGGTAATAATATGTTTCCTATTTTTAATATGGGACATACATCACTGAGTGCGCATAAAACATAAAACAGTAACAATCCAGTCTCCATTAGGCTTTTGGAATATTGCAAATAGCTTGTGCACTTCATTAACACTCACAAATTTCGGGGAGTCTGGGTTCTCCGGGCTGGGGACCGCTGTTGACATGCATACCTGGCTAGCCTGTCTATGACCACTTAAGGGGTGGGGAGAGAAATTAAAGAAGCAAAAGAAATAGGGAAGTTCCTGGCTGTGCATGGAGCTAGTGGAGTAATTCATAAGAAATGGACCATCAAGGTTAATTACAAAGATAGGAAGGTCATACATAGACAGATATTAGGCATGACCCATGTAGATTACATGAGCCACAATAAAAGGAAAGATAAAATTCCAAAATGCACCAAAAACACAGCTGGCAAGGCAGAGGAAGGGCCACCAAGGCCAGGGGCAGGATTGTAAGAAGCTAAAAGATAACTGGAAAGAGGCAAAAACACAATGCGAATATTAAAAGTGCTCTATATGTACTTTGGAGAAAAGATGTATAAGGGGAATAAGACAATTTAGGGAGAAAGACATCATGTGGGATTTGGAATTAATTATTAATTCATTCCAAAAGAGAACTCTGAGACTAATTGAGCAGGCCCTGGTGCCAGCTTGCCTGTGCATGAGTAGCAAGTAGCCCCTGCCAAGGGGACATAATTTTCCAGAGACAGTAGCCCTATGAAACAGCAGGGAAAACACAGCCTCTGCATTTGCTGATGACGCAGAGAGGGCACAGCCGGGTCAACCTGGTTTATTGTCTTCTATGCCTATTGGCTGACGGGGAGAAATGAACAAGAACGACCACAGCAAACTCTCTTAGCTCAGGCTGAAAGATTAGGTATGGAGTTCTCCACTAGAGATATAAAGGTACCCCAACTGGAAAAAGACAATTACAAACACCACCACAAATAAAAAATGTTTTATAAAGACGAAACTGGCAAGATGGAGAACAAAGACCAAGGCTGTGGAAAGAAAATAAAAATCCTGTTTGATCCAGAATGTCATTATTATTATTTTTTTTAACTTCAACCAGGTGTTTCCAGAGAAATGGAATATGGTTATTAAGCACCTACTGTGTAGCTGGTAGAAAGACATAGAGACAGAGCTACATTAGAGAACAAAGGAATTCAAAAGATCTTTAAGAGTATGCTGGAAATGAGAGCATTTGGACTGAACAAAAATGTCATGTGGAACATTTTATATTAACGAGCGGCTGGTGAAAGCTCATATAAAGTTTTTGGTTGGAGAGGAAGCCTCTAGTCATGAAAAGGGTGTGGGGAGGAGGAGAAATAGCAGCAGCTGCTCTTTGAAAGCTCCATAGTGAAAAACTTTTAGAGCCAGTTGGCCAACGTGATGGGAAAGAGAGAGTACAAGCAACAGTTACAAAGTAAGTTTATGGCGTCTTGTTAAAAGGCGAGGAGAAAGAGAAAGAGAAGGGTTAAGTGGGTCTTGGCTTAAATGCTCCCTGGAAAGGCAAAACAGAAAACGGAAGGGGAAGGACCGAAAGAAGGTGAAACACCCTATGTCAAGTGACAAATGAAAATGGAGACAGAATGAACATTTGCTTTTATTACCTTTGATAAAAAGCAAATATGTGACAAATTGGATATTTGTAGAGGTATTTTTAGGTTTGGGTAGTGGGAATATTTTAATGTCCGCTATATAAGTATCTTTTAAAACAATTTAATATTAATTCTATGGAGTCTAAATTCCCAGAGGTGTCTGAGAATATAATAGGTGGTTGTGTGCCCAAGTTGTTTCTGTGGCTGCCTGCTCAAATATCACTCAAGGTCCCTGTTGGCTCTGGGCCACTAGCACCGTGGAGCTCCTACACTGCTTTGGGTGATGCCCACACTATTTTTAGTTCACTGAGAAAGTCATGACACAGAAAAATACATCATGACTTTCCCAATGACCTGACAGAATATCCTCTCTTCTGGCAGACTACTGAGTGTTCTGCAAAATCTTGACCCCTTTCTCCCTGCCCTCCTATCCTAGCTCACCAGAGTCCCCGTGGAGTCCTGTGGTCAGTATCGGAGCTGTAGTGAGTGCCTTGGCTCAGGAGATCCGCACTGTGGCTGGTGTGTGCTCCACAACACGTGAGTACCGCTGGGGGACTTCCTCCTGCCTTCCGCTTCCTCTGGCCTCCCACTCTCTCCTAGTAATTCTTTCTCCTGTTTCACGCTCTTTTCCTTTGGTCTCTCTAGCTCCTCATCTTGTTTTTCACTCTTCCTTCTTTACATCCTTTGCAAAAATTATCTTCTTCTATTTGTCTCCACTTCACTCTAGGTTGCCAAAATCCCATAAGAAATATATGGAAATAGCTGACAGGGGGTAATGACAGATCAGATTGTGAATGTCACGCTGGATAGTTACACAGTAGAGGGCCAAGACAGATGAATACCTGGATTTCCCTGTGACTTGGCTACAAGACTGAGTTTCCAGCACAGAGTGACAGGAAAAAGGCTTTGCACATTTTTCTCAGGGTTCTCCTGGGCTGTGAAAGCATGCGTAGATGTGTGCTGTCCACTCAGTGATCCACTTAACACACCTTCAAAATCTCCGTAGCATTTTCTGCTGCTCCAGTCTGCAGCTCAAGTGTGTAGCTCCTGAGGACGCTCCCTCTGCTGTCATAACACCCGACAGCTGGTTGTCAGAGCACCTGGACCAGTGAACTCCTGTCCAAATGCTGGGGCTTCCCCTAGGTGCCTCATTTTGTGCTGATTCCACTTTATTCTCCAGAAACGGGGAGAAGGCAGTGGTTACAGTGGAACAAACAGTAGCTTGGCAAATAAACTGAGAGGTGGGACATAGAGTCCAGCCCAGTCCATAGACAACCAGCCTAGACATGTGGGGAAAACTGAAGGCCTTTCTGCAAGGGACACAGGTACCCCTGGCATTGCTACCTGGAGAAGGTGACAACAGCTGGACCCTACTCTAATAGCATGTGGTCCTAGTTCAGCCATCGTTTCTGGTCAACACCTGAAAAACATGGCTCTCTGTGAACTGGACACAAGCATTATCTTATAAATTAAGGAGAGGAGCCAGCAGGTGGCATGGTGGGTAAGGCACTGGACTCCCACATGGCTGACCACAGTTTGAGCCCCAGACCTGGTAGCTTACTTTTTCACTTCCTCTCTCTCTCTGTCTCTCTGTCTCTTTCTGGTGAGTGCATGTGCACTATAGCAAATTTAAAAATATGAATAATAAGTAAAATTAAATAAATTATTCTTTAAAATAAATTAATTAAGGAAAAAGGACTAGTCTTTTTATTAAGGCCCCGAACCAATGGCATTTACTAATAACTTTCAGTTGTAAGAAAATGGGGGGGCAGAAAATTCTGACAGGAAGAGGAATGGAAGCAAAGGGATTGCAGCATGACTGCTCCATGGCAGCATGCTTTCTGTCTTCTCCTCCCCTTTCTCCATGGCAAGTGTGCATACCCACTGGCATTTTAAAAAATTTAAAAAAGAAAAGAAAATGGGAGCAGAAATGATTTTTCAAGTCTCTTTCTTTCTTTCTTGAGAGAGAGAGAGAGAAGGATAAAGAGAGAGAGAGAACTGCCTGTCAAGCTCTCCAGGATCCAAACCCCAAGCCTCCCCATATGGCTCCGATATCATGCTGTGGTGTCCTTCCACCTGCGCCACTGAGGCTGGGCCAAAGAGGCAGGAATCTTGACAAGGTTGGGAGGGATTAAGAACTCTTGGGTGCCCTGCCTCTTGTGACTTTAGTAGGCCCCCACCCTGATGATTTCCTGATGGCTCTGCTTTAATTTCTCATTTCTGCTCCTGAGAGTATCCCAGGTACAAATTGCCTTTGTCTAACTGGTGGATGTTCCTGCTAGATTCCCCACACCTCCATTAGAAGCATCATGTCTTATCCCAAAGTTCGCCTTCCTTCCTTGTATGTGCCTGTGTCAGTGTCGGCCCTAATCAAGCACAGGCTCTTTGAGGGCAGGGGCTATGCAAGTGTCATTCTCTTTGTCTGGGACCTGGCTCTGAGCTACTGTGGCTGCTACAGGCCCCTCTTTGCTCAAGGAGCCAGAGTAAGAGCCAGTGTGTGAAAGCACTAGGAGACCTGGGAGACTGGGTTAATGGAGTGGAGATCAGTGAGCTCCGGTTCTCATGCCTTGCAAACGTGTGAGGCTTTAGGCAAGCACAATTGATTGTCATTATGTGTGGTAGTTATGTTTTGTAAAGTTGCCGGGGACACTGAATTAATGAACACCAAACCACTGCATCTAGATATAGGGTCATGTTCCTGGGAGCCTCTGGTCATGACATTTTTATCAACCGATCAACACATGGCCTTATTTTATGTGTGTTTTTGTTTAAAGATGCCTCATATAATATATATTGTAAATGTGTTAACATTGAACTCAGGGCCAACAGTATGATAACTTGTATCTGAACGAAACTTGTCTAACACGCATTTTCTCTGTGAGGCACGCCGTGGCGTTCTTACACTTCAGAGCACTAGAGAGCACTTCAGCACTGGTTGGGGGCCATTTTACACAATGAAACTACAACGAAAAGAACAAAATATGAACAACGTGGCACTAAGTCAGTCTGTAAACGGCCACTGTTCAGAGTGATTGCTGAAACAAGACAGCAGAAGGGCACCTTGTCTGACCACAGCTGGGAACGTGTACACCAGGCAACGCCTGTCTTTCGCTACTCTGTGCTCATCCGCCACAGACGGCAAAAGCACCATAAGTACTGAACTAAGTTACAAAGGAATGTAGGGACCGTCAAATTCACAAATACGGAATCTGCAAATAATGATGTGAACTGTAACTAGGTTAGAAACATGGCATCTTTGGGACCAGCAGGTGGCGTGGTGGTTAAGGCACTGGACTCCCACATGGCCAACCACAGTTTGCATCCCAGACCCAGTAGCTTGCCTTCTCACTTTCTCTCTGCCTCTCTCTGGCCAGCGCATGTGCCCTATAGCAAATTTAAAAATAATAATAAGAGGCCAGCAGATGACATAGTGGTTAAGTTGCTGGATTTCCACATGGCTGACCATGGTTCAAGTTCTGGACTTGGTGGCTTACTTTCTCACTTTCCCTCTCTCTCTCTCTCTCTCTCACTGTCTTTCTCTGGTAAAAATAAAAAATAATAAATAAGTAAAATTAAATAAATAATTATTTTTTAAATTAAAATAATGATAAAAAATCATTCTTTAAAATAATGTTTTTAAATGAAACATAGCATCTTCATCTTTAAAAAGGGAGCACAGTACCTTCTCACAGTGGTGGCTAGGATGCTGTTGTGAAGAACGGTCTAAGCCTGAGGGGCTGTTCTGTGACCCTCGTCTCCTGGTTATGTCAGTGACCTAATGAGGGGACACACCGGTGTCGGGGCTGTGCCAATGTGTCCAATGAAGCTCCACTCCCATGGGAGGAAAACTCATGAGCTTCTGTAAGCTAAGACTCCTGCCCACTGAGACACTGAGCAAATCCACCCTCCCTCCATCCCTCCCTCCCATAGTTTATGACCCAGAAGAACTCCACCCACATGAGTGAGTGAAGAAGAGTAGGTCCCTGGACTTTCAGATGTTTTTAATGAAGAAATAATTTCAAATGTACACAGAATGGGATGCCCAGAGTCTAAGCATCCAGTTTGAAAAGCTTTGACAACTGCAAACACCCAGGTAATCCACTCACCTATCCTCCATTCAGAAAGTTCCCTTCTGGGCCTTCCCTGTGCTTCCCAGGGGGCCTCTCTTCCTTCATTCCTTAGGTTTAGGTCAAAGACAGTTGTCACTGCTCTTAATGTGCCTGCCCATTTATTCTGAGCAGATGCAAACTGGGTGGCCAGGGCCTGGAGAGGTGTGTGAGGAAGAGCCAAGCAGAAGAGAAAGCACAGGCAGGGCCAGTGCAGGAGGCTGAGGGAGCCAGAGAGAGCCTGCCAATGCACTCTGTGTGCCAGGAAGGGAGCAGGTGACATGGGAGGTTTAATTGCTTCTGGGGTTGCCATGTCCACACACAGACTTCTCAGAGCTCTCAGAACTGTCTTGCTCCCTCTGCACCAGGCCCTGTGCTAAGCTCAGGCTCATATGGGAGACTACATGAGACGATCTTTGTCCTAAAGCTACTCCAGATTCAAAGCTTTGATCCAGAATCAGTGCATTTGTTAGGACCCTGCCATGAGAAAGATCTTGTGCTAGATGATGGTGCCACTTGAGAAATGAGGCCAGCAAGCTGATCCTCAGGAAGACCAGGGCAAATAGCAGCAAGACAAGGGCTATTTGAGATGTCAAGATAACCTGTTTCCTCAGTCACTTTGGCCAACTTTGCCGTGGTTGTAGGAAGCAAGGTGATGGTAGCATTGTGGGAAGAGAAGAACAGAAGGGGTGTGTGTATGTGTGTGTGAGAGAGAGACAGACAGAAAGGGAGGGGACAGTTTAAGGGCAGGGCCCCTGAAAACAGGTGGCTTCTGTGGCTGAATGAGCTGTTTGTACCAGCAAGGTCACAGGTGGGTTGCAGCCTGAGAAGTGCTGTGTAATTTAAATCCTCCCTCCTGTTACTCTCAATCATCGCAAAGCACTTTCCTGCCAACCTGGTAGTGGAGAGTCACCCCCTTGCCCTCATTTGCAGCCCCTGGCCCAGCCCTCCGGCTTGCCCACTCCCAAAGGCAACAATAGCTTCAACAATCTGGCTATTTACTTGACCATGAGCCTTTATTCCAGGGCTCTCCTCAGGGCCTGAGCAGTCCGTTCTGACTTGGGTGAAGGTAAAGGAAAGCCTACAGCCCTGTCTACCTTCAGCCCTTCACAGTTGCTCCCATCCTAGGCCTGGAACATTCCTTCCAATGCCCAGGCTTGGCAAGGCTCCAGCATTCTCTTCGTTTTCCCCTCCCATGGCTCCATGCCCAGGCAGAGAAGCCTATCTCAGTCTCAGTAGGTAACAAGATCCCACCCCACAGACCCAGCCACATCGATTGGCCCAGACGTTACCTTTCTTAAGAAAAGTCATCAGCGTCACTCCTGGGAGACTCATGTAACCTAAGACATCAACAGGGGAAAGATCAGATCCATTTCTATGAAGTCTTTCTCTTGCCCCTTGATGACCCTGCCTCTTCCAGATTTCTCCCAT